AAGGTTGATATGCCTTGATGTAGGTCTCCATGCATGTACATGTAACATAAATAGCAGACATGTACATGTATGCAACTTTGGGAAGCTTAGTACATGTGTACATTCATGATTTTTAATGTTCACCGTCGCAAAAAGTGGGGGGGGGGATAAACTGAGGGAAAATTGGCATTGTAAAAATGATATGTGAAACTGAGACTGATACCCGAGAAAATGTGATGTGTTGCACATGGCAGGTCGTGTTTAATAATGCTGAGGTACATGTACGTGTACTTGTACCCGTATACAGCAGATCAAAAGTTGAGGACTTGATACCCAAGCAGTTTTTCCATCCAATTTCCGTACTGTCTGGTCGTTATTTCTCCACATGCTACTGTTTATGTGCCGAGAGCCTTAATATTGCGCAATAAAGTCTGCGTATTAAATCGGTACTCACCACTGCTTTGTACCGCATGGCATAAATTGGCGGGGGCCCTGTAAGGATCCGATTACAGCGCAGCAATATAGCGGGGGCCCGTTGTTCCCATGTTCTGATTGCGAAGGGGGTAGGAATGGACGGTTCACACGGAGTAGCGATTCCAATCACGGTGGTGACCTTGTGTTTGTGTTGTCAGGCTCGCCTTCAACATGCTTCAGCACACTCCGCTGAACATCGTCCTGTGCGGCTTTTTTCTTTGAGCTTAATTACGGCCGGCGATCCTTTCCGTGCAAAGCTTTAATAAGCACGAGACCTGCGTTGTACTCGCACTCATACTTACAGGGTACCGGGGGGTACATGTACATGTATGCTAGGGGTGAGATTTGTCAGGATTTTCATCAGAATTTTCCTGATTTCAGGATCTTTCAAATACTTTTAGTTTCTGAAATCTGGAAAAGTGTGAGTCTACCATAAAGGCATTTTTAATGTACATGTATAATTTAAAACCCTACTCCCTAGGATGTATGTAAAAATCATAATGCATGTAAAATCGTTGGATTCAGGTCCGTTAAGGCCGCGTTAAATATAGACCACAAGAAATAGGTATTTTAAGAGGCGCCTTCAGGCTAACACAGTTCTACAGACCTTCCACTACGATGGGGCCCTCCAAACCTGCAGTGGTTATGAATTTCATTGACATCTCATTCTCTACCAATGATCTCACCCCTAGTACATGTGTGAATGTTCACACACTAGTAGTTGTTCCATAGCTGTGGGGACATTGTGGGTGGGGACGTTGAGGGCGGGGACAGAGATATGTTCCCACAACTCGGTAGTAATTTGCCAAACAAAAGAAATTGTCCCCCTTAATGTTTTGAAGGCCTGCCCACACATGTGTATAGTGGCTCGGTCCCACCAGTAGGTCCATCAATTAGTGTGCTGTATTTGTAGGGGTAACCAGGGGTGTGTGTTCTCTTTTAAGGGGTAGCCTAGGCACTCCGATCTGTGATGTTAGAACCCAGAATTAAGAGGAGAAAAGATTAAAGTTCAGACACTGATGCAAGAATCGGCAGATAAAAAGGCAAGGTTAGAGGAAGCATCAATTCTAGTGCCGTCCAATCAATGAAGCACTTGCATTGATCAACTAATGCAGGGGACCCCAATCAATAAATCATTAGTCAGTCTGAAAGGACAGTCTGTCACTTAATTACATACAGGTGGACAATCTGGAAAGATGTTTCTATTGTGCAGTTTCCATGAACAGTTTGCTTGGACGTGGGGCTGCAGATCAAGGGTACAGAGCCAGGATTTTAGAGGGAGGGAGATAGAGCACCGTTCAATTTCCCCCCCCCCCTTTGTGGCTCCAGTTCGATGGATTGAGTTACATGTAGAAGTTGTCAGAGCTGCTGTTTGGAGTGAAAGCTCTCCAGAAGAATCTTGTTATAATGAAATTTAAGTCAAAGTAAAGTTACTAAAGGAAATGCCTTTACGGTAGACTCATTTGGGGGATCTGGGTCACGCTTCATTGTATTCGTAAACATGTACTTTATAAAAAAGTAAGGCTTTGCTAATTACCGATACATGTGAAAAAAGGGGCCAAAATTGTTGGAGTATACATCGCCACCCCTTTTCATGTACTTAAGATTAAAAAAGAAACACAAAAAAAATTACCTTGCTGAAATTACTGGTATGAATGACACAGGAAATGCCACCAGATTTCACAAGGCGGAAAATTGGCTTCAGTCCATAGCATGCATTTGGGGAAGTCACTCAACAAATACTATGGTACAATTTTTTTTTTCAAAGTTGGCCAACCATTTAAAGAAGAACTTTTTCATACATGTACATGTGTCCATGTATCAAGGCAAGGCAGGATTGATACAAAATGAGTGGAACGTACATGTACATGTATCTGTGAATTAGGTATTGACTGAGCTTACTGTAACAACATCACTGTGTTTGAACTCATTTTTTGGCTGTTAGAATGTGTGTCCATACACCAAGTACTGTACATGAACCAGGCATGTCCAGTGGACAGATTTTTACTCAAGTCTAGTATCCTGCTCGAAACATACTGGTTTGTGTTCTGCATCATGTCCCAGCATGTACATCTATAAATGAGCAGATGTCTGGGAAAGAGGATGGGTTGGGTGTCATGCTTCCCCCCCCCTTCCATCTGACCCATTTTAATAGGACGTTGTACTACTTGGGGAATATCTCACTTTTTTTTCTCCGGAAACATTCCAACTCTTCCACGTGTACTCGCAATTCCCTCATAAAAAACGTGTCCTGGTGTGAAAAAAATCATCCACGCATGAAACATTGAGACCCTGCAAATTGACTTTTGAATATTTGACGAGCAACCCAGCCCGCCAAACCTTCACAGTCAGTTCCCTCTTTGATGTGCCAGCCCGATTATGCAAAGTTAGTGCTGTCAGGTTGTGTTTATTGCGAGTAATTTGGCGGTCATTGGTCCCAATGCTGTGTGGGATGAACAGTGTACTGAGGATATTGCTATAAATAAGGAAGACGTGTTTTCAAACTTAAAGAAAGCCCCCCCAAAAAAAAATCAATTAGAATAAATTGAAGAAAGAAAAAAGTTGAGGACATTTTTAAGAAATGAAAAATTCTAAATGAAATGCATGCATTGTTCTGACTTGTCCACGGCCCACCCAAGGGAGGGTATCCCGGGGGCTTGAGCCCTTCCCGCCAGGAATTTTATTTTTGTGAAATAATACACCTCCCAAGTCTCTCAAAATTGACCGGGGGGGGGGTTTACTGGTAATTTTGCCTGAACAAGGAAGATAGGGCCTGCGTCTGCTGGTAACTTGTAAATAATCCCCAATGAAAGAAAGTGCAAGGACAGAGGAAGGTGTCATTGATTTACAGCACCTCGGATTGAAGAAGATTTCTACAAACAAAAATACAGTTCAATTGGTCAGGGGTGATGCACGAAGATGTTGTACAGTGCATCAGAGCAGACATCTATTTTGACAGATCCATATATTTTACTGGTAATGCTGGGTTTGCCAAGTTTGGGCTGATCAGTGCAAAAAGTGCCCAAAAAAATCATTTTTAATTTCCTCATTTTGTTGTAAATATGATTAGGAGTCAACCAAACGACAGACTGAGACTCCAACATAACTGGTCCATTCAAGAGCGGGCTACTGCGGTTTGAAATTCACCGTCGGCAAAGACTGGACCTGTTTCCACCCCTCCTATCTTCTCCCCGCCTCCCCGAGGGGGTTCTCGTTATTCACGATGAAGTGGCTTCTAACTTGCCCCCTGTTATTTCCTGTATGCTCTATCGTATAATTAGCAGGCGTGCATTTGCAATGAGGCGTGAAGAATGGTGTGCACGTTCGTGAGCCGATGGTCAGGTGGCATTGGCAGTGAGGGGCAGCAAATACATGTATACTCATCATCACCATTGCCTCGCTTTGACCGCCCCCGGCCAGCGCTTCAAGAATGAAGGCCGTTTATCAATGCTCCTGATGTGCTTTCACATTCACACCGATAAGCACTCTCTGAAAGTTACCCTACATGTCCATGCGCAGCACAAAATGGGTCCGAATAATGGAACACAAGACCTGGAAAACCAGTTTTGACTCTAAGTTCTAGCTCTAAATTTGTGGATCAGAACAATTTTTAATTTAAATATATGCAAACTTGTAAAGTTGTCAAACAATTATCCCCAAAATGACAAAACAGTGTAACTTGACAACTACCGTAGGAAATGTCCCAAATAGAAAGAAAAATACAAAGCTGATGGTTTAGAACAATTTGGTCTCTTGCCCTGACCTTTGCCCTTATCCTGTATTACCTAGACTTTCTCAACACCTAAACTGAGTGTTGGATTGTGCAAATATTTTTATGGTTAACTGAATCACTTTAGTTATAAGCAAATTGACAGGCTGCTAATAAGATTCCCTTGAATGTTGAAAAATGGTAAAAGAGAAAATACGTATTTCTTAATCGTAAACAAACAGCAGGTGTAGAGTCTAATACTAAGTATAGCCATTTTTAGAATGTAATGATTTGGCTTTGAGAACTTTAAGAATTTTCTCACATGTCAGAAATTTGTAAAAATCAGAGTTGAGTTCTTCTGAAAGGTAAAACAGAAAAGTTTTACAAATTTGTTTGCAATAAAAAAAGGTTGGTATGTCAGTAAAGGAAATCAGGAAAGAAAGCTCTGTGTCCTTTTCCTTCTGACCTTTGAAATCTTCAAAGCAAAGAAGGTACATGTACATGCACACCCATTTTTTTTTTCACTTTAATCATGTAATATGCACGCTCCTAATCAAGTGTCAAAATTGCAGTCCGCACGTACATGCATTAAGCCCCTGCTCATGAATTAAGTCATGCATATATGCATGACATTCGAATTGTCCCAGATCTGTCACCAAGCCGTTTGTCACGAGGGGGCCCCTACTGCATATTCATGAGTCTCTGACCTTATCAGTGGGGGGGGATCTCCGTCAGAGGAGCAAGAGAGAGAGTTCATAGCAACATCAATTGCCAGCTGACATCAGTATCGGTGTCTGCATCGGTTCCGATGTCATCACGGTTCGCCGGTCAACTTGAATAGTTCAGGCACCCCGCAGCATTGTGTTGCTGGCCTGGGCTACTGAACTGAAGTGAGCCAGTGGTATTTAACTTTACACAACGGCCTTCGGGCAAGGGCAGATCATGTGTGTGTGTGTACAGTAATTTGATTTTTGGGGAATTTTTACTCTGGTGGATTGGATCGGCCAATTGATATGGCGGGATGTGCAAGGCTGGTGCGCTTGTCCAAGCAACAGTTGCAGGGACCACAGGCTCAAGCCGAGTTCAAGATGGTGAATATATATGCTTCAATTAATTTTGTTTTTGTTTCAGAAGTTGTGTAAAGGGCAGTCTCCGCAAGAAACCTTGAAAATCAGGCATTACATACGTGCCTGAACTGAAAAAGCAGGGTTTGTGTTGGAGATGCTCTCAGTTTTCCCCAATGTCCTACATGTATCAGAATGAGTTCTGCAAACCGTTTCTGCTGCAAGAAAGTTTTTATAAATGTACGCCTTTGAGAAAAAGGGGTGTCCAACTTGGCCCGCACTGAAAAGACTGGGTGTCAGTGTCGACATTTTTCAGATTTTTCATGGACTGGTACCCGGTATATTTTACGCAATAGAATAGAATAGGCCAGAGAAGTCCACGGCGAGTGAAGACACACACAGAATACACTATACCACTTTCCAAAACTTCACTTTGCAGTACAAACAAGTATCCTGTACGGTTGTTGTTTCGGTCACAAGTCAGTATTTTTCAGTGGTCAACTTTTAGAGAATCCTTTCACGTACATTGACCAGTGTTATCTTGCACCATTGGTCTGAAAACAAGCCTGCTTGCTGTCCCAACTGCCAACATGTTATGAGGGACTTCAAATTGCCTGACTATGCATACCATTAGGTCTGTGTGTAAAACCTCCCTTTCACTGTACTAGTAGTGTTTTGCATGTTGGCATTCTATCGTCATGCAAACGATGTCAGCAGTCAAATCAAAGATGCTGCAGTACATGTATCAGTTTCCAGCCAAATGAAAGTCTGATTTCAGGCTTGGCAATTGAAATGGCGGGCATTAATTTCATACCTGAACAATATGTTTAGGCTTGTTTGACCTTATTTTCAGGCTCTGAACAAGAAGCTGGCTGACATCTTTGTATCAGGTTGTTGTTACATGTACATGCACCTCCTAATTTAGAACCCTCCTATGCTGAAGTCACTCTTTGGGTCATTTGGTAAACACCTCAAAGAAGCACAACTGTATCGCGTTGTGCACTGCACCAACATGCAAGAGAGTGACCTTGGGCACTTGTGCATATTTGTGCTGTAAAACCAAAGGAGGGTTAGCTAATGAAGGACTTTGTCATGCTCTGTGATGGCAAACACACTGGTACTGGTCCTTTTGACCAGTTCTGAGCATGCACACACTGTTCTGAGCATACGGGCATACATGTACATGTCGTTCTGAGCATGTGCAGTACTTTGAAAAAGGACCAATATGTCTGCTGCCACCAGGGTCTCAAAGTCTCCCATTGCATCTTGTTCGTGAGCTAGATAACAAGGGAAACATTCGCTTGAACCAAACCGACACATTCAGAAACAAAGGCAGCTTTAATGAGAGCAGTACTCTCATGTTGACGAATCTGCAGGCACGTTGAAACGAATCGGTTGCAAAAGTGCGGCGCTGCCAATCGGAAATTCAGCTTCAGATTGCAGTTAAGTGACAGATCAATAAGAACGGAGGCTATCCTCTCCACTCACTGTCTGGCTGATTGTCCCAATTGCATTTTGAGAGGGTCTGGCCCGGTATCTTGTGCACTTGGTTTGGCCGATAAAATTGATCCTACGAAGACCGCGTGCGTGATGGTGATTTTGTTCGCGAGATTGCTTGCTTGAAAGAAGAATGAGTTGTTAGTGGTTGTTTATTTTGTGAAATTTTGGGTTATTCCATGCAGAGGCTGGAAATTGGTCATGCTGTTAACACTCTCGTTTTCTTTGATTGTGGCATTATGTAATCATGCAATTCAAGAAACGGTTTATCAACAAACGAGAGTGGAACTAATAGGTACATGTGTACTAGTAGTCTCGACATTTAATTTCCACTTTTATCTAAAAAAAACAAGTCCATTTGTATATAAATTTCATATGATTAGGTCAGTGAAAGTGTGGCCAATTTCCACAATGGCCACGTGTTGCCCCTTATACTTGTAACTGAGAGACTTCATTTGTTCGACTTTTTTCTCCCAAAAGTTTTGGAATTTGCTTTTGCGAGCCTTATGCAGATCTGCATTTTCCATGGTACAGGACATGTAGATTTGCAGAAGATGCAAACCTCTGCCACACTTTCCAGCCATTTCACATACGAAAAATATGGGCTTTGCATGGTAGAAGAGCATTTCGTTGTTGTAGATGTACCAGAGTTGTATCCAATCACTAATTTTTGTGATGGAATCAAGTCGAGTCTTTGTAACATAGTGACTCGAGTCGAGTTGAGTTATTTGCTCACAATGACTTTAGTTGAGTAAGGTCATTTACCCATTGGAACTTGAGTGGCCAAAAATGTGACTCAGGTCAGACTTGAGTCAAGTCATTGCAACTCTGAGATGTACTGGGAAAACAAAACTCACAATTGAACGATTTCTGCCGCAGATTATTCCAATCACCGTCAGTCAATCAAATGCCTGAAGTGCCTGTCAGATCATATCTTCTCGGAAAAACGTGCTGCCATTTTCAAGACACTCAAATTTCATGTTCCAAATGAGCTTGCAAACACGCTTCTCCGGCTGGTAATAAAGATCGCTCGCGGCATAGTTTTATGTCACTGGCCACATTACTCCGCACTCTCTTTCGGCAAGCGTAGACTTGAATGGACTTGCATCCTTTCAGTGAAATCGTTTGCCCTCAACTTTTCTTTAAAATAGCCAGTACAGTAAATTTCCCATGAATCAACATATCAGCATACACGTAACTGTTTTGAGTTTTAGTTTTATTTAGATTTTTTATTTGAGCTGTTGTTGATTGATTGATTTGGGGGATATGAAATTGGCATATAAAAATGTCATGATGACAAAAATGAAAATGAGGTAGCTGCTTCTACATGTGTACTTTACTACACATGTGCGAATAATGCAGAAATGAATTCCTGGTACCACTTTTGTTGATGATGAGTTGCCGTAGGAGATGTCTTTATAATGTTTGTGTACAAGTTTGTACCATACCTATTGTGGGGACACTTGCCTTTCACCAGCGATATTTTGTGGGGACCTGCAAGGCTATGAAGACAAATGTTTTTTCCCCACCACTCAGTCCTAACAAAAGTGTGTACCTGTTCAATGGACCTGACTGCAAATTTCAGTTCCATATATTGCCCACAAAAAAATCAAGGCCGGAGAAAAATTACCAAAGGAATTTCTCTTTGTTCCATGAGTCTGATTTTACAATGTATAGTCACACTCTCATGCAGAGGAGCAAGCCAGGTAGTCACAGTTTCTGAAACTGACCCCGACTTGGAATGGAAGAAAGCAATTTAATAACTGAAATGGGCTCATGAAGACCAACGGATATTGGATTTTCAGGTCAGATTTGGGACGAAGTTGGATTTCCCTATACATGTACAGTTACATGTATATCCGCTATCCAAAACGCCTAAAGTTGCATTTACACATTGCAAGTAACCTTTGCGGAACCTTTTTCACATGCCGTCTGAAAATCCGTTGTGTTTTCAGTAATTTTGTGTGAGTTTCCACAAAAACAAACAAACCAACCCAGCTCTTTGCTTTGATGTGTCACTGAATTTGGTATCTTCATGAAAATGTTCGGGGGATTCTTTTCATTTGATATGATACAGGGTTCTTTTAAAGGTTATTAACTTACAAGTGGCTTGTTCCCAAGAGTTCTTGGGACACATTATGTCAAGTTTGGCCAGGTTTGAGAAAGCCATATGTGCCAATCAATTATTCATGAGTTCATGAATCTTAGGAATGTCCTTTGTTTAGAAGGGTGTTATGCTCTGAAATAAGGTTTTACATGTGTGGTCGGTAAACCGAAGTCGTTCAAATGTGTATTGTATTGATTTACTTGCCCAGAAAACACCAGCAAAAGTCAATCAGCATCAGGGAATCACTTTTCCTTTGTGTTTTTGTACAACAGTAGTGAACAGAGAAGATTGCCAGCAGATGGCCATGTGCAGTCTGCCGGACAATGAGGGGCATAGCGGTATATTCCGCTGTACAAGTAATTAATTCATGCTCTAATGAGAGACGTGCAGAAATTAAGGCTAATCCCGGTAAGTCCTTCTGAGGGAAATCAATGTGCCAAAGGGATATACCGGTAGCTCACTGGAGTGTCAGGAATGCAGAGATGGTGATTTATTAGCCACACTTGAATTTACACCACTGGCAGAGGACCTTGCTGCCTGCACACCCATCCAGGCAGTTCTGCCACGCAGTCTGCGTTAATGACATTTCTTCATCACGTCAGCTGTTCAGAATTCTCAGCCAGTTCTTCACACGTGCATACCAGTAGGTGAATGTTTGTGTACTGATGACTTTCCCTTCCAAACAAACCCTGACGTGCTCGGCTCGCGATCCAAATCATTTAGGAGCTACTGGTGTATAACTACAGAACACCAGAGACTTCAGGACTCGGGAATTAGCACCCTGCACCTGTAATGACCAATGCGGTCTTTGTCACAAGAGTGTTCTTAATATCAATGGCAATTGTACTTGTAGGCCTAAGTATTAATTTCAACTTCGTGGTAACGTTTTACGAGGCCTTAAAGTTACTTTGCGTACTTCAGCAGGACTGGAGAAACTGGTTGTTCCGTTCATTCTGTCTTTTCCCCTAGTATGGGCACTACTTTTATGAATGTCGCACAATATTTACTCACCTTGCTTCACAGGGGTACAGTACATAATCTTTAGTTACCAGAAGAAGTGAGCCCAAGATTGAATTCTTAGACTAAAGGGGTGCATTAAAGGGAAATTCTACTGGTGCAATGCACGTACATATGTACATGTACTAAAGGCTAGCGTATAGGCATTCAATGAACACTTTACAGCAAGGATATGTACTGTACATGTGTCGGTATTTATTCATGCACAGTAGAGGCGCGCTAACACGTACATGTTTATACCAGTAGTTAAAACAAAAGGTGTAGTACAATTGCAGAAGGGAAGACATTCTGTGAACTTACCCATGTCCACGGGACATTTTCCCTTCTCTTTGAAAAAAGAAGTTTAGAGGCATTTAGGGGTTTAATAGGGTTATCCGTTGTAAAAGGAAGGGGAACAGTCGTGGAA